TGCTGCTGTGCTTTGAGGGGTTTTGCTGCCACAGCCGCAGCTGCTGCAGCAGCTGCTGCAGCAGAACCCCCCTCATGCAGCTGCAGCAAACTCTGCAACCCCCTAAATTGCTGCTGCTGCTGCTGCTGCTGCTGCTGTTGCTGCTGCAAGTAATGCAGCAGCAGCAGCAGCAACAGCCCGTCTCCTCGAGCTGAAGAAACTCCTGTGTTTTTCTCTGCTGCATGCGGCAGCAGCTGCTGCAGCGTTGCTGCCCACGGCTCTGTTGCTGCAGGACTGCACCACGGTGCAGCAGCAGCAGCAGCAGCAGCAGCAGCAGCATCTGCTGCAGCAGCAGGTGTACTGACACCGCATGCAAGCATCAGCTGCTGCTGCAGCAACTCCACCGGGCACCCCTCTGCAGCACAAGCCAAGTGCAGCAGCTGCAGCAGCATCTGCTGCGGGGAGTCCTTGCTGGCTAGCTGCAGCTGCAGCTGCAGCGCCAGCTCCTGCTGCTGCTGCTGCTGCTGCTGCTGCTGCTGCATGCAATGCGAAGGTATCGGGGTCTGCGGCAAGGCCACTGCCCTCCGCTGCACGAGCAGCAGCCCCCCAGCAAGGAGACTTTCTATCTGGCAGCTGCAGCNGCTGCAGCTGGCAATAGCTAGCGGCCAGTACTTGCTGCTAGCTACTCGCAGCCCCACAATAGCAGCAGCTTCAGGGAGCACTGCAGGCAGCCAGACACGGCGCACATACACCCGCATGCAGCTGGGTGCAGCAGCAGCAGCAGCAGCAGCAGCAGCAGCAGCAGCAGCAGCGGGAGAAAGGGGTCGATCGCGGCGCAGCAGCAAGTCTACTGGGAGAGGGATACATACACCTGAGTTTGTTTCTGCTGCACGAAGGTATCGTGGTTCTGCTGCTAGCACATAGAGATGCCTCTCGGCCTGCTGCAGCAGCAAACTGCTGCAGCAATCTGTTGCTGCTGCAGCAGCAAGAGGCTGTAAAGACAGCAGCAGAGAAGCAACAGCTATGCTGCTGCTGCGCTGCAGTGACCACCGACAGCCCCCCATAAACAGCAGCCCCACACAGTGATGCAGCAGCAGCTGCTCCGCGTACCCCTTGCTGCTGCTGCTGCTGCTGCTGCTGCTGCTGCTGCTGTTGCTGCTGCTGCTGAGGCGGTGTCTCTCTCGCAGCAGCACGGAGAACACATCTCTCCGCCCCGTTCCTGCAGCAACGCATGCAAGAGCGCAGCAGCAGCAGCGCAGCACAGCTGCTGCTGCTGCTGCATCAAGCCCGACTTGCTGCTGCAGCTGAGGACAGCGAATGGGGAGAGAAGGGACCCACACAAGCTGCCGCTGCTGCTGCTGCTGCTGCTGCTGCTGCTGCTCTTGAGGAGAGCTCGGTTCTGCTGCAGCAACACGCATGCAGGCAAACGTAGAGTAGTACTGCAGCAGCAGCAGCACAGCAGCAGCATCGTTGCTGCCAGCAAAGCGGAGACCAATGGACCACATAAGAGAACCAATACAATGCGCTCGAAGCAGATTCGCCTTGTATAAATTTATATTGCTGCTGTTGCTGCTGCTGCTGCTGCTGCTGCTGCTGCTGCTGCTGCTGCTGCGGAGACGATCCCCACGAGGAAGCAGCAGACCGCTCTGGGGGTCGATGAGGTGAGCGTACGGCATGCAGGGAGCTGCTGCTGCAGCCTCTTCTGCTGCTGCTGCTGCTGCTGCTGCTGCTCCAGCAGAACCCCCACCAGCAGCAGCAGCAGCAGCAGCAGCAGCAGCAGCAGCAGGGAGGTCTGAGGGTAAGACCCTGAGTATGGGGGGCAGCTGAGCTGCCACCCACA